TTTTTTTTTTTTTTTTTTTCTTTTTTAATGTTATAAAACAAAAAAAAAAAAATCTTAAAACATACTTTATACTTTAGTTCATTAAATTATTTTATTTACATAAAATATTATTTATTTAAAATAATATTTAGAATATAGAATTATGTTAATGTTATAAGAAATTTATATACCTTATAAAAAAAAAAAAAAAAAAAAGGCATAAATAAATATATAAGTTTTGTTATATTTTATATAACTAAAACATATCTACTTACAGTAATAACGACAAAGAAAATAATAATCACATTTGTAAAAAAATAAGGTAAAAAAATATAATAATAATAATAATAATATATATATATATATATATTAGAATTTATAAAATATGACATTCACAGTTTTAAAAATAGATTAAATATAATTTTAACAAGAGAATTATAAAAAAACAAGACATTTTAATTATAGATTTGAAAAAAAAAAAAAAAATAATAATCAGTAAAAAATAATACATTCAAATTAAAAAATATGGAAGCAACACTGTTCATTAAATTTCCTTTTTTTTTTTTTTGTTAATACAATATATATTAACAAGAATTATAAAATGTTATAAAAAATAATTTATATTATTATATTAAAATATATGGATAAATAAGAAATGATAATTGCTTATTATTTATATAAATAAAAAACTTATTAACAAGAATTTATATATTTAAGTGTATATTTAGTTATATATAATATTTTTGTTTTCTTCATAAAGTTTTAAAATTTGTAAACAAGTTATAAATGTCTTTAAATCATTCATCATCTTTAAAAATAGACCGTATTTTTTATTATCTTTGGTGTACTAAAATTAATAAAAAAATAAAATAAATAAATAAATTCAAACATAAAACATTTCTCATTAATATAAGATATAATTATAAATTTTATTTAAAACATAAAAAATTATTTCATCCATTTCTTTTTTTTAAATCTTACATGAATATATACTAACTTTTTTTTATCTTCTTCTGACATCAGATAAATAGTTTTTAATTGCTAAAAATGGTAAAAAAAAAAAAAAATAATTAAAAAATTTAAAACTATTTAATTGTGCAATTTTACAAAAAAAATTAATAGAATAAAAAAAAAAAAAAAAAAACCATACCAAATATCTATTAAACTTTGAATCATTAATTGTTTCATAGTCATATAAATCTACTACCTAAAAGATAATAATTAGGAAAAGAAATTCTAAATAAAAATAAAATACTAAACATAAAAATAAGTATTTATAAAGTAATAATATTAATTTACATTTTTTATTTGAATATATAAAGTTTCATCACCTAGTACTATAATTAAATACTATAAAAACAAATCCAAATTTTATATTTTAAAAAGTGTGTTCATTTTAATTTTATTTTTGTTTTTTTTTCTTTTTTTTATTAATTTATTTTACTCTTATATAATATTTATTATTTTATTTTTTTGTTAGTCTATTTTATTTTATTTATTTTCAAAATCTTTTACTTCTAAATTTTTTTCTATATATAAAGAAGCACAAAAAAGAATGTCCCTACTAATATTTATATACTCACATTTTATACCTTCGAAAGCTGAGGATAGAAATTTTTTCATCTTAAAAAATATTTAATATATTTATTTTTCTTTTGTTATAAAAAATATTAAATTCTTATTCATTTTTTTTTATTCCTACAATCATGGATAAACATTCACTTTCTTTTTCTCTTTTTAAGTTTACTTTCTCAATCTATAAAATTTTTGAGTAGAAAAGTTACATAATTCCATATTAAAATAAAAAACAAAAAAAACAAAATAGGAAAAAGAAATAGACACCTTATCAAAATTTATTTCTAATGAATCCTTATCACCAGAAAAAAAGTTACAACAAAAATATTTATTAATCATTATATTAAAATTAAAAATTTATTTCATTAAACACTTTAAATGGTATGTATATTATAAAATTTTATTTTACAAATTACAAAAAAAAAAAAAAAAAAAAAAAAAAAAAATTACTTTTTCACTGAGAAAAAGATTCATTTAATTATTAGGAAAATTAAAAGATAAAATTATTATTTTTGATTTTACAAATAAAAAGAAATATTAAAAAAAAAAAAAAATTTAATATCTGTAAAATTTAATTATATGCCACTTTATAATTAGTATGTTGATATATTTGCCTTGAAACTATCGGAAAATTGTAGAAATATAAGTTTTTTTTTAATTTTTTTTTTTTTTAAATAAAAAGAAAATTGGGGTATTAATAAGATTCCTTATTAAGGTTAAAGAATTCAATACATTAAATAAATATAATGAAAACTTTATATTATAACAGAAAAAAAAAAAAAAAAAAGACAAAAACATAATGAAATGGTAAAATGATCATTAAAAAAAAAAGTCTCTGTTATCTATAAGGTAAACAATATCACTAAAACATGTATTTTATTCTTTTTGTATATTTTTGCATTTAGTATATCAAAGATTAAAATATATATACGTATATATATATAAAATTATTAATTTTTAATATTGTAAGAAAATTTATATTTATGTTCTATCAAAATTTGGATATTCGTTTTTTTTTTTTTCTTTATTTTCTAGACAAATGGTTCTATAGTTTATTAAAAAAATTTACCTTGTTATTTTATTTTTTTTTTTAAATATATTTCCATATGAAAAAAAAAAGAATATTTAAAGGATATTTTTAAATAAACATTCGTTTGATATATAATGATATCAATAATATATGAATACAGCAACAAAATATAAAAGAATAAAATAAATTTAAAATGATATTAAAGAAAAAAAGTGCAATAATAAAATATAAATATGTTAAACAATTTATAACAAATTTTATATGATAATAAGAGTAGTGAAATATATATGATTAAAATAATGCATAATAAAATTTTTTAAATGTTTATTTAAAAATAGGTATATATCATTATGCATAAACAATTTCTACTTTATATATGAAACTTATAACTTTTTAATAAAAAATTTCTGTTGATAATTTAGTAACATCATTTATACTTCTAAAATTAACATATACCAACCATATAAAATTTTAAATATTGAAGAAATTTACTTGAAATAAATTTAGCATTGATTTTTATTTTATACCCTTTTTATCTTTATAAATATTTAAATTATTTTATAATTTTTTTTTTTTTTTTTTTCTTTTTTTTTTTAATAAATGCTTCCTATTTTAAAGATAAATATTTATTTTTCTTTTTTTCATATATAAAAATAAATATTTTCTATTTATTTATTTATTTTTTTTTTTTTTTAACTGGTTTCTATTAATATGTTGAAAAAAATTTTCTTATCCATCTTTAATAATTTTTTTTTTTTTTTTTTTTTTTTTTTTTTTATTCTTAATAACATTTCCTATATTAAATTTTTTTTTTTTATAATTTTTTTTTTCCCTTTTT